CCGCAGTTTGGGGACGCCTGATTTAAAGCCTTAGAGGTGATTCTCATGCATATTTTGATTGAAAACCACCAGCAGATGTTATCTCATTTAGTCTTCAGAGTAACCACCTGAGGTGGCAGCCATCCCATTTTACAGTGGACCAATGCCATATCTAGGATACAGTGGAACCAAGTTTTCACCCTTGGTATTCCTCATTTGAAGACTGGTGTATGTTTCCAAATCCTGTGTTTACTCCATGCTTGGTTTATTGGCACTGCTTAGTGCTTGATCTTGTCTAAGGATAGGTTTTCCCAATTTAGACTTGACTGTGACCACAGATTAAAGGCAAATATAGGGAAAAAAGATTAACTTGCTAGTTATGAAAGATATACAAATTAGAGCAGCATTAAGGTAATGTTTTATCACTACTAAATCAGTAAAGTTAAAGATGGTCAGGATCTCTGTAGATACGGCAGTGATAAAACTGAAGCCTCATTTGTTACAGAGTGTAGTATAAACTGGTGCAGCCCTTTTGAAAGGCAGTATAATCTCTGTCAAGACACAAAAAATTGTTTATGTCCCTTGAACTTATAATCTTATTTGTGGAAAATTATTCCAACAAAGAATTCAACAGCATAAGGATACTATATATGCCAGGATTTTGCACCAACATTATTGAAAATATAACAAACTAAGTGCCCAACTGGAGAGAAGTAGATAACTTAGCTAATATAATTCTATTGGACTGTTCTCCAGAGTATTTAAATATTATGCAGATTATGGAGCAGCATGTATGCTCACTGTCAAATGGTCGTAAATATTGAAAATTATAAAAAGCAAAGCAAAGATCCTGTATACTTCCAAAGTTAAGAAGCTAGCAATACAGGTATTTTTATATAAAGGCATGTTTTCTGTTGATTGAGTTCTCATAATGCTGTTGGATGTAGCAATCAGTTAAGAACCGGGATTTGCTTTGCTTGGATTGACACCGCTGGTTATAGGGAGAAAAATGACTTTCTCAAATGCGAAACTACTGTTGCGACTAAACAAGGCCCACCAGCTTTGGTTCAGTATCTGGCTGCTGTGTTTGGGTCTTTGGTTAATGTCTGTGATCCACGTTGCAAAAAAACTGCAAGGTCAGGACCAGATATGATGGGGCACTGGGCCTGAGGCTTCTGGATGGAAAGGCAGCAGGAAAGCATTTCTGTGTTTTTTGTTGTTGCTAGTCGTTTTGACCAACTGTTATTTTTAACTCTACCTAACAAGATACAGGACACCTTTATCACTGAAATTTCTATGGGACAGGTATACTGACTCTAGATTTAGTTCTCGTTTTCTAAATAAAATGATTTTTAATTTTTTTTCATGTAATACATGAGTTCACAAGAATGACTTTTTCATATGACAATTTTTGATGATGTGAAGTTTCTTAGAAATACAATTATCACGTAATAGCAGAATAGTCTATATTAGTTTTTGTTTGTACATGTGTAAACTGTATAAAAGAATAATATATGCAACACATTTTTCTGTTTTTTTTTTTCATTATTTAAAAATGCCTTGAAAATAAATTTCTAATTATGGAGAACCATTGGATGTTGATTCATATAATTAATTCTAACCTGGAAAAGAACAAGGAATTGGTATCTTGCCAGTGTTTAGATTTGTCATTGAGGAACATGGAGTGTCTTTCCAATTACTCATTCAGTGGAGTTTTGTAATTATCCCTAAGTAGGAAATCTCTAGATCATTCATACGTGTTTTGTTTGTCGTTTTTGTTGTGATTGGCTTATTTTTTCTTGGGTAAATATTTTTCCTTTGGTAGTGATTTTTAGATTTTTCTCTTGGAAACTTCTCTTTCTTTAGTGTTTCCCTTCCTACTTGTCAGTGTCTGTCTTGAAAGGCACAAACGTCCCTTTCCACCTCTGTTTTTTGTTTTTGTTTTTTTAACTACAGCCCCAGGATGGGCCTCTGCTTCCTCCAGGGTTCTCTTGCACGTTTTCTACTACTTCAGTTCGATTTTAAAACTTTAACCCACCTCCGAAGTTAGCCCTGTTCCATCTCTGCTCCTTGTCAGACTACATTAAAGAATCTAGGTGTATCCTACACATTGTCTTTCTCTTCCTCACAGTATCTGCCTCGATGACTAAATCAAAAATTGTTTTATTGCAGTTTCTCCCTGAGAGTCTGATATTTTAGCAAAATCTGAGCCGTGAGCTTCTTAAATGAAGCCACCTTCTACTCACTGGTCATGGTCTAGGTTGTCAATGACTTAAGAGTAAACGTGATTGATAAAGCTACAAATGGCATTTATTCCTTCCTTCTTGCTGCTGAGTTTTTCTTCTACTCCAGCGGAAGAAGGTGCCACATCTCACTTGGCAGTGTTCTCACCCTGGCTTTACATTAGCATCACTAAGGGACTTTTAAAAAACACTTGCTGAGGCCTCATCTCAGATTCTGATTTAACTGGTCTAGGGTGAGGTGTTGCTATTATAAAAAACAAGCTAACAAAAATCCCTTTAGGTTATTGTAATGTACAACCAGGGTGGAAAGCCCTTATTGATGTAGTGAAGCTCCCATCCTGTTTTACTGGGTCTGTGAAATCCACAAGCATGATTGAGGCTTTATTAGTGTGTCTGTCCCACAGCCCTGGTGAGGAGTAAGACAGAAGCTTGATGGATCTAACATGATAGGACCTGCTCCTGACAAGGCCTGTGTACCAACACTCTGAGCACTCAGAGTCATTTGTTTAATCGAGTGACAGAGGTTAAGTATCAGTTACTGTGACACAGATACTGCGCTAGACGCCATGAGAACAATTTGACGAGGGCTTCATTCTTATGGAGGTTAGAGTCGATGACTCTGTTTTGATTCTAGAAATGAATTCCTGTCCTGGTAGGTTGCTCCTGCTTATTCCACAAGCAGGTCTGTCTTCAGTACGCAGCTGGGCCCCATACCCTACTCTCCCTTAGGTAACGCAGTATTCATCTCAACCTCTCCCATGTGGCCAGATAATATTCATGGCTCAGGAGAGAACTGACCAGGACCTTGACGACTTCATCTACCGACCAGACTAGGTTGCTGAGTAATACTAGTAGCACTGGTCACCCCTGTGCCTTCTCTCTTAGTGAGCTTAGCTGGGCCATGAACTTGGAGCCTAGAATTCTATTGGGCTGTCTGGTGAAGGGTGAACTTTTACAGTTCAAGACTAAAGGCAGCTGCAAATGACCTGTTTCTGACCACTTTTTCTGACACACATCTCAGTCTCAACCTTAACCTTTTCACTCTAACTGAAGGCAGAGGAAGTGAGCGTTGAGAAAATTCCATTAAGGAAGATGAAAGCTTGCCACCTTCCCTAAAGCCTTGATGCAGTGAGGCCACAAAGACCATTTCCTGTCTCGCTTTCCCTGGGTCCTTTTGTCTGCTAAGTCCTGGAGGCACTTCCCTCCCAAGCAGAGGTGAAACCTGACCTCACCAGCTGCAGGAAGCGATTAGGGACCAAAGAAAACAGTTGAAAAAGAATACCAAAGTAGTAAGCGATCAAAAGACTAGATCTAAGAGTGAGTTCTTTTCATAATTCCCCTACCCCTCATTTCTGCTGTCCAGGGCTTCACTTGATGTCCTTGAGCTATGTCAGTGTCCGCACCCCCTCATCTCCACATAAGACCACATGCAACACAGATTTCAGTAGAGTTGGCCATTTTTCAAGAACATTTTTCACATTCGTTGAGAATTGGCCTTCAGAATTGTGACTTATTTTTTTCTCATCGCCATAGTGATAGCAAGTAATCATTTTTTAAGAACAGATTTGATTTTTCATACAACTAGAAATCATTCAGGATTTAATTTGTTGAATACCCTGTGCTGAGGTTGTAAATTTGATCTGAAGACAGTTTTCCATGGCAAAGTTCAGAAATGCTTTGGGCAAAAGCAGCATTCATACATAATGTTGAGCACATACTTTGATAGCCCCTGCTCTGGGCACTGGGGGTACAGTAAGACTGGCATTCTAGCTAGGGGAGAGGAGTTTACAAATTAATAAGGAATAAAACAACCAAAAATACTAAAGACGTTGCCAAAATACTACAGTTTCTGGAAAGAAATACTCTGAAGAAGAATGGGGAGGTGGGGAAGGGTGGAGGTGAGCTGGCTTCGAGAGCGTGATTTAAGGTAGGCTCTGAAAGGGGGTACTTGGGCGGAAGCCTGAGTCATCTGAAGCACAAAGCCGTGTCACGGTATGTTCTGGGTAGTGGCAGCAATAAATGAAAGTTGTTGAGGTAGGAACCAGCTTGGTGTGTTTCAGAAACGCTAAAGGAGCAATGTAGGGGTGCAGAGTAGAGGAGAGGGCAGATGGTAGGAGGTGAGATTGGAGATGTAGGCCGTGGTTCTGACGGTGATGGGAAGCAGCTGGGGATATGCCATGCTGGAGTCAGTGTTTTGCCCTTTAGGGACATTATTTTGAAGGGTAAGATTATTTTGTCTTCTAGGGACATTATTTTGAAGGTAAAGACTAATTTGTATTTATGACTTAAGACACATGTTAACAAGCCAGTGTTACGATGGGTGAAGGTGAGGAATAAATCCATATCCTTGAATATACTTAGAGTGTTTTTGCAAGACGATCTGAGAAAGCAATGGCAGTGTTTCCTGGGTGATAGTGTGTGACATTGCAGGCAGGTCAAGAGAGGAAGGGGCATCTGTTAATCTCTTCTTTAGTAATACTTGATTTGTGACATGCTTTTTTTTAAGAAGCTTTTTCATAATAGATCGTATGTGTGTATATGTGTAAGATTTCATTTTTTGCAGAAAGCATATAGCTGCTGTGTTTGTGAAAACACAGACATCTTTAGAGCAGTGTCTCCTCTGAGATAATTTGATAAGTGATGGTAAGCGGCGTGGTATTTAGATTTCTGTGAAACCCAAGCATTGACACTGTTTTCAGTGTGTGAAATATGCTCTATTTAATAGATAACACTTTTTAAAAAAAATTTCAAACTATATATTTTGCTCTTTTTCCCCAGGCAACAGAAACAGACACCAAAATCAGAATATGCACCCGGGCCTATCATCTGCTTGTGAAAAAACTGGGCTTTAATCCGAATGACATCATTTTTGACCCAAATATCCTAACCATTGGTACTGGGATGGAAGAACACAACTTGTATGCCATTAATTTTATCCAGGCAACAAAAGTCATTAAAGTAAGTATAGGCATTTTTTTCTCCCAAGTCATGGCTCACATTTATCCCATGAGTCTAATGAATGGTTAGAGCTGACAGATATATTTATTGGCTGCAATGTTAACATTCTTGTTCTTAGTAAAGTGTTTTTCTGAAATGTAGGGGACCTTATTTGTTTTGTTTAGTAGAGTTTTAACTTGTGTAACAAATAGACTAGAGAATATAACAGAGCCTGATGAAATCACTCGAACCCAGGAGGGCGGAGGTTGTAGTGAGGCAGGATCGTGCCACTGCCCTCTAGCCTGGGCGACAGAGTGAGACCCTGTCTCAAACGAAACAAAACAAAAAACCACAGAACCTAATAAATAATTAACTATGAAGCATATAAGGGCCTTCTCTTAGGTCTCAAAATAGAGCATAGCTGGCACCCCCATCTGCCTCTCCTTTTCCAGTTATACCTCATTCTCAATGTTATAAAGTAGCCATCATCCTGAGTTTTATGATGCTACTTTATTGCTTTTCTTCATAAATGTATTGCTTACATACATAGAATATATATGTTGATTTGCATCATCCATGGATTTTGTATTTGCGAATTCATATACTCACTGAAATTTATTTGTGACCCTAAAGTCAATACTCATATCACTTCTGCAGTTACTCAGACATACCAATATGCAGAGCGGTGGACAGTTTGAGTGGCCCAACCCATATGTTCCCAAAGAGGTTGAACAGGGCAGTGATCTGCTTTCTTATTTCAGCTCTCGTCCTGTATACAGATGCCCTTTTTGCAGTCTAATGCCATGTTGTTTATATTTTAATGCTTTTTGCTGGTAAGGTCACTTTTTAAAATGGTACCATCCTAGTGCTGTCTAGTGTTCCTAAGTGCAAGAAGGCTGTGATATGCCTTATGGAGGAAATATGTGTGTTAGACAAGGTTCGTTCAGACGTGAATTATTGTGCCATTGGTGGTGAATTTAGTGTATATATTAAATAAAGCATCTTAACACAAACACACAAAACAAGGTTATGTATTGATTGGTTGACAAAAATGTGATCAGAGGCCCGCAGGATCCTAACCCTGTATTTCTCCTAGGGGCAATGCTCCAATATTCCCTAATTCAGTGTTCGCAATGATTTTATAGAACATAACTACCACAAAATAGTAGAAATTGACTGAATATCTGAATCATACAGTTTAGCTTTGCCTACTCTTGAGCTTAATACAAATAGAATCATATTTTCATGCTTTTTTTCCTTAATTCATTTTAAAGGTTTCTCTATGTGGCTGTAGCCGTTTGTTCATTTTTATTAATGTATGATATTCTATATCATGTGATATGGTATAACTATATTGCAATTAACTGTTTATTGTTGATGGACATCTAGTTTGTTTCCAGCTTTTGGACATTATGAATAATGCTGCTCCGAGTATTCTTCTATATGTGTCTTAGACATACATGCCTGAGCTTCTCTGTAATATACACCCAGAAGTGGAATGGTTGGCTCATAGTGGTAGGTAATAGCAAACTGTCTCCCTAGATTCTTGAGCCAATTTTTATTTGAACTGATAGAGTTCCTGTTATTCCACATACCGTATGACAATGCTTGATATTGTCATAGGTATGGTAGGAACTTCCATTTCCTTTTGTCCTTTTATGGTTGGTCAAGTTTATAGTGAACTAGGGAGTTTGTTCATTTAGGCTATGGAAGTCTTCTAGTAATTTGTGCTTTCAGTGAATAAGGAACTCCTTTCTTTGTGTGTGTGTGTGTGTGTGTGTGTACGTGTGTACGTGCGACACACACTGTTCACACTGTTTGTCTTTCTGTCTCTCTTTCTCTGTCACTTATCCAGGAAATAGTTGATGGAACACTCAGTGTATATTAAGTCCTATCATGGTCACTCTAGAGATATACAGAATTAAAGTAGAATTTTGTAGTTTTCCTTAGGGAGCTTGGAGTCTTAGTAAGAAAAATATACTTTTGAAGCACCGCCTTTGTGACACCATAATATGGAAGCCTTGGTGTATGTCTAATAACAAGACGCTCTGAATTACTTTGAACTTCGTACTTTTTTAAACTTTTCATTCCTGTATAAAACTTAAGAGATGTGATTGCTGCTTTTGGCAAGATAAGGGAATCTTTTCATATTTTAAAATTTTTGCCAGGAAACATTACCTGGAGCCAGAATAAGTGGAGGTCTTTCCAATTTGTCTTTCTCCTTCCGAGGAATGGATGCCATTCGAGAAGCAATGCATGGGGTTTTCCTTTACCATGCAATCAAGGTATGGCAGAAGAACTGTTTGCTGTGTGGAAACCAGCTTTTACTTGGGGCAAGGGTTTTCAAATTGTGGTGTGTGGGCCAAGTCTGGCCTGCTGCCAGTTTCTGTAAATAAGATTTTTTTGAGACAGAGCCACTCCCATTAGCTTATGTCTTGTCTGGGGCTGCTTTTATGCTATAACAGCAAAGTTGAGTAGCTGTGACAGAGGCTATGGCCTGAAATAGTCTTTATCTGGCCCTTTACAGAGAAAAGTTTGCTGATCTCTGACTTACAGTATCACTGTAAATTCTCATTTTTATTTGTATTGCTCTTAGTGTGGCATGGACATGGGGATAGTGAATGCTGGAAACCTCCCTGTGTATGATGATATCCATAAGGAACTTCTGCAGCTCTGTGAAGATCTCATCTGGAATAAAGACCCTGAGGCCACTGAGAAGCTCTTACGATATGCCCAGGTAGAGAGACAAATGTTCTAATGGATGGATTTTTTCCTATCTTTGAATTGACTACTCACCTACAGTTAGTAGACCTTCATTGTGGACTAGAAGCAAATATCTAATCATGTCTTTGGGTCGTTGAAGGTATCTACAGAGAGTTGCAGAGATGGTGGTATAGCTAGGGCAAGGAAGGATAAACAGACCATGCCTAGGCTGCGTCCATATTCTGAACTTAGATTCCTTTACATTTATTTTAAAATGTAAAAATTTGTTTTTCTTGTACCAAGTAACTTTTTAGTTCTAGAAAATTAACAAAATTCTGGTAAGCAAAGGAAGAAAATAAAAATCACTTATAATCCTATCACCCAAAGTTAAACATTTGTGATTTTGTTATAACCTTTAAGTAATGGGAGTTTTTTTTTTTCTTTTTGCAAAATGAATATGCATGCATAGGTACATATACACACAGTTTTTCCAAAAATAGAACTATGCTCTAGATGCTTTTATGGTAATACTTTTTTCTTAGCAGTGTACTGGGAACATATTTCCATTTTACTTGATATTTTTCTTCCTCATTATTTAAAATAGCTGTTCTGAATATTCTCGTGTGGCTGTGTTAGAATTGCATGGTCTGCACTGTTGCATGTTTTGGTTTGTATACCTGTTTATGTTAGGGTCTAGTCCATCTGTGGCAAAGTTCTGCGGTTCAAGGCTTGAGTTCTATACACATTTGATCTATAAAAAATGAGTATAATTATGGCTAATTCAGACATCAGCTTGTTTCTCACTTAGAGGTTGGGCACAGTCTTAGGCACATGAAGTATATCTATCGTAGATGCTGCTTCCTGGAATTCAGTTTAAGGAAAGTTGAGATCTTTATCTCAAAAGGACTTGCATTTTAATCTGTTGAAGAGAATGATGACAAAGGGAAATATTTCTCCCACAAAGCATGTTGAGAAAGTGGTAGGATGCTTTTGTGTCTTTTGCCAACCTTGTTAATATTTTCCATGTTAGAATATGAATTTAGCCCTGATAGAACTGCCAGGTTTTCCTTTTCCATGGAAGAGTAATGAGATGCTCTGGAAGAAGGATAGGACAATATGGGATTAACCACGTCCTTGTTTTATCAGCCTTACTAGCAGTAAGACTTAGATTTCTGAAATTGCTGGTGGAAGCCTTAGGCTCAATAAAGTTGGTAGGAGTTCAGACACTGTGCCAATGCGCACATGACCCTCCTCTCAGTTCCTTAAAAACATTTGTAGTTTCTCATACGGACCCAGGACAGAATGTCTTACTTGGTTGTGGCAAATGCAGTGAAGTTCTGCTTCTCAGTGCATTACCTAAGAAACACTCCATGGATTTTTTATGTTTTTCCTATTTTCTTGACCATTTCTGCTCACATAAGACAGAGTGCTTAGCCGTGTCTTATTCTTTGAACATTGAGACATGGGATAAACACCAGTTAAACACCAGTCAGCTTGGAGTCATGGTCTATCTTCTCCCAAGTAGGGGACCCTTCATTAACTGTTAACGAGTTCTGTTGAAGGCCAAAGGGACATCATAGCCTCTATAATCATGAAGTCATACTAGAGAGTTCTTAACCCATGAAATGATGTGTTTTCATCTTTTCCCTGATCTGTCCAGAGGAGGCAGCCCTCTTACTTAGGAAAGGGGCTCCTTATTTGTAAGACCATTCCCATTTAGGTTTTTTTGGCATTGTATTTTGTGCTAGACATTCTTTTGGTCTGTATTCACTTTTAGCATTTGCTTACAAGTTTTCATTTCTGTATATCATGCTGAGCTGCCAAGAGGTTTTGCCCCAGAGGCACTGCCAGTGTGAGGGAAGTCTTAATAGTAATTGCAAGAGCTTAACAATTCATCATATAAGAATTTCCTCATTCTTAATGTAACCATGAGGGCTTCTCATAAGCCACTGACCTCTCTGTCAGGGAGGCTGTCTACATTCAAGGTGACTTCTGTTGCTGTTAAGAGAATTAATAACCAAAGCAGGTATACTCAACTCCCAGGAGTCGCCAGCTCTGTAGCAATTCCTTAGGTGCACTGAGTGCAAATGGAGCATGAAGAGCAGGAATATTGTGAGGGAAATAAGTCAAGGGATTTTTTTCTCTTTTATAAGAGAATGCTCTCTTTTGGTTATTGCACCCAAATTCCTGTCTGATGTATTATTGAAACTAGTGGGAAGAGTGCTGCCTCTGATCGTCCAAGGCTCTTCAGTCTCACGTTTGGGGAGTAGTGGGATTTTTTTGAAAAATAATTTTCCTAATTTAGTTCAGGCTGACCTGTGGTAAGTAAATTATTTTTGATAGTAAAAATTTCCAGATACCATGTAATTTACATGGAGGATCTTTATTAAATGGTACCCTAATGGAGGCTAGGCATCCAATGGAGTGGAAGGATTGCTGCTCTGGATGGGGTGGCTCTGGAATGACCCTGGAGCTTGAGAATATTCTTGATACTTTCAGGGAAATTTGTCTGTTCTTTGATCCGGCCTTGATCTTTCCCTTTGCCATTTGAACTCACATTCTTCTTTGGCTTTCTCTGCAGCAGTTTACTCACTTTTACAACCTACACAACCATGAGGCCCCTGTTAGGCAGAAGCAACTCTAGAATAGGAAGAAGGACCTTTTCTCATTAGCTTTGTATATGTAAGGTACAAGGAGTAGCCAGATGGACATGACAATTGCTTGGTCAGTTTGCTTGGTAGCTTTCCATCTACTAGGCTTCCACAGTGTGCCTGGGTCTGGTCTTCCCTAGTGTGTGAAAACTGGGTAGCACCTTGTATGAATATCATGGAGAAATCCCTATTGAATAACTGCGTGAAAAGTAAGATGGGCCTCCACATGCCACTGTGTACTTCTGAAGTACTGCTTTTCACGGTACTGTTTCATTTTAAGTATTGTTTTCCTGAATCAAGTTCATCAGGTTTAGAACATAGCTATCAGGTGGGATAGTTTTTAGACATCACAACCTCCAGCACTGCAGTGAATTCTGTACTGCCCTTTGTATCCTCCTTTGCCTCTGTCCGTAATCGTATATTTTTTGGCCGCCTTCCAACCCTGTAAGTCTGGCACCCTGTGGTATTTTTCTGTGAACACACCAGTTCCTTTTTTCAAGAGTGTTTGGAACACGCTGCCTTGTTTTTACAAAACTCCATGCCCCAGGCAGGAATTGTCTGGTGTTTACAGGTATCCAGTGATGGGACTGTGAACATTAGGGCTTTTTCCTTTTTAATTACTATCTCATTCAGGTTTCTCAACATACGAGAGTCCTCGTGTTGTCATTATTGCACTTGCCACCTTGGCCCTCAGTCTTGGAGTTCTCTCCAGTTCCTTCCTGCTCTCCTTCTTAGTCATTGTCTATTAATGCCTTTATATTTGTCCTTTCCTTTCCTCCTGTTACCACTGCTGAGTCCGGGCCTTCGTCATGGACTATTAAAATATTCTTCCCCTCTTGTGATTCCCTTAAAAATGTTACTTTGAATGTTGCTCAGCAGCTTTAGAACTTTGAATAATGTCTCCCCTCTCTGCCCATGCAATTGCCTGGAAGGTTAAATTTAAACTCCATAGCATGGATTTTTGTCCCTCTGTGGCTTGGCCTCTACCACCCTAGACAAATATTACTCCAGTAAGATCAGTCTTTGTTTAGCATTAATTCGTCCAGCTAATATTTACTGAATATTTACTGTTACTTTGTGACATTCATTTGACTGAACTTAGAGAATCTAACTAGTAAGAGAGATATATCCCTACCCTCTCAGAGCCTACAGCTCAGTGACATAGGCAAAAATGTATAGAGGCGATTGTCACCCAGCACAGAAAGTGCTGTGAGAGGGGAAGTACAGGATGCTAGAAGGCTGAGGGAGATTCTGACCCCAAACTAGAGGAGTTCAGGGAAAGCTTCCCAGAGGAAGTGATAGGTCAGGTGAGGCCTCAGAGAAATAAAGGAGGTAGCCAGGCCAAGGTTTGAGGGTAAAGTGCAGTGCTGGTGGTCCCTGCCAGGGGAGGGATATTTGCAGCTAGCCAGAGTCTGACATTGTGGTAGGTACTGCATAAATTATGTCAGAAATGTGACATAATTTACTTCACAAATGTGAAGGCCTGGAGGTGAAGAGATGATGGAGAGCAGAAGGAACAGAAGTGTTCTGGATGGCTGAAGCTTGTTGGGAATAGCAGAAGATGAAGCTCTAGGAGAAAGCCAGATCAGGTGTATTAGTCCATTCTCATGCTGCTGATAAAGACATACCCAGGACTGGGTAATTTATAAAGAAAAAGGTTTAATGGACTCACAGTTCCACATGGCTAGAGAGGCCTCCCAATTGTAGTGGAAGGCGAAAGGCACGTCTTACATGGCAGCAGACAAGAGAGAGGACTTGAGCAGGGAAACTCCCCTTTATGAAACCATTAGATCTTGTGAGACTTACTCACTATCACAAGAACAGCACTGGAAAGACCTGTCCCCGTGATTCAGTTACCTCCCATGACATGGGAATTGTGGGAGCTACAATTCAAGAGGAGATTTGGGTGGGGTCACAGCAAAATCACATCATCAGGGCATTGGATGGCATGGTAAGGAGTCAGTACCATGTCATGAAAGCAATAGGAAACTTACAGAGATTTTTTTCAGAAGGAGCAGTTGGATTACATTTGCATTTTGGCTGCATCCTTTTGGCTACACTGTGGAAGGTGAATCAGAGACCAGAATGATTCTGGTCTGTGGAGACAACTTAGTTCTTGGACTGTGAAAATGGAAGCAGGATGGAGAGAAAAATATAAGGTGTAATCATTAGGATGAGGTGATTTTTTTGATTGAACTTGAATAGTGAATGGAGATTCAAGGACGATACTTAGGTTTCTGGTTTGGCAGCTGGTACCACCAGTTGAGGTGGAGGAAACAATAAAGTAATGCAATTTGTCATATGTGCTGTAATCATTGCACATTTGTTCCTTTGCTGAATCTGTCCCTTCTCAACATTCAGCTTCTTTGAAACCTTTCTTTGCCACCCTAGCTTACGATAACCATTCCTTCCTCAAAATTCCTGCATACCTAGTCTGTATTATGTACTCATTCAGCCCTTGACATATATTCTTTCTTTCTATATATATTTTCTACCTCTCTAATGATATGGCTTAGTTTGTTTTCTTTTGGTCTAATGGAATACCAAAGACTTGGTAATTTATAAAGAATTTTATTTCGCTCACAGTTCTGGTAGCTGGAAAGTCCAAGAGCATGGCCTTGGCCCCTGGTGAGGGTCTTCTTGCTGTGTCGTAACATGGTAGAGGGCATCTCATGTCGAGAGGGCCACAGCAAGAGAGCCAGAGAGATAGCAAACCTGCTTCCATGGTAGCAGCATTAATCCATCCCTCATTAATCCATTCATGGGGGCAGAGGGATTAAGTTTCCAGCATAGCTTTTGGAGGATACCTTCAAACCATAACAGTGGTGAGTTCTTGAGAGCGTAGTCTGTGTCCTACAGCATCTCTTAGTTGTGCCCACCCTTGATGTCAGACTTAGCTTCATTGTGGCCTCCCTGCATCTGTTTGTGGCTAATAGTGATATTTGTTGAGAGCTTTGAAGGCTCATCAGGTTTGGAGTATAGCTTTTCTTACTGTCCTGGAAATACTGTCTCGAGTTGTTATTTTTAGAAGAGAAGGGAACCTTATTCTGTCTCTGTATTAACAGTTCAAACCCTAAAAGGTTTCTCATTTTTCCCTCTCTTTTTCTCAAACATTCATTGAGATCTTATTTTATGCTGGACAGTCTGCTAGGGGCTGGAAAAGCAAAAAATAAGACACAAGATGTTTGTTTTGTTTTGTTTTTTGTTTTTTGGTTTTTGTGCCATCAAACAGTATGGTTAGTGATGAGTTGTATCCATTTCTTGGTTTCAATTTCAATTCAGACTCACAGCCAAGGAGGGAAGAAGGTCATTCAGACTGATGAGTGGAGAAATGGCCCTGTCGAAGAACGCCTTGAGTATGCCCTTGTGAAGGTGAGTTATAGGAGCCTGAACTGGAGGGCTGGCAGCTCGTCGTGGCTGACTGATGCTGTTCCCGGAGGTGTGGTACTGACAGCAGCTGGAGCAGGAGATGCCCCAGACCCCTGATTGTCAACCTGGGGAGGTCCCCTTGTCTCCCAAACTCCCCACCCCCAACAGTAGCACATTTGACGGTGTCCAGAGACATTTTGATTGTCATAACTGTGTGTAGGAGGTATTCCTGGCATCCTGTGGCCAAGGATGCTGCTAAACATCCTGCAGTGCCTAGGATAGCCCTAAACAACAAAGGAGATTCCCTCCCAAGTGTCAGTAGTGCTGAGGCTGTGAATCCTGTCCTGGACCAAGTTGCTGTCAGTTGGTCAGCAAGTCAGTTTCATAGTTGGAATTTTAGGCTTTACACCAGATCAGTAATCTCTTGGCTTCAGTTTCCTCATGTGTGAGTCTGGAGAATCTCAGAGGTTTGTTTTTGTTTTGTTTTGGCTCTGGAGTTTAACGTTCAACTCTTGGGCCTTTTGAGATTTACATATTGCAATTTGTGGAGCTAGTCAGCCCATCCAAGGATCATTGAACTGGGGACCCTGGAGGGGAGGGGCTTGGCAGTGAAGGTTGGATAAGTCACTGGAGGCTTCATGGATCTGAACTTCGTTTAAGGGCCCCATCCAGTGTCACTTCTCCCCCAGCCCTACAGCATTACAGTGAGAAAACTTACTCATTTCACCACAGGTATTTATTAATGTATAATCTGGTAAAACACTAAGATACAAAATGTATTTTATGGTGCATTTGAAATTATTAGGCCTTCTCTATTAGCTCATTTTACTGAGGTACATTTTAAAGCATTTTTTTCAATTGGCATATAAAATTGTATGTATTTACTGCATACAACATTCTATTTTGGAAGTATATGAGGTATTTACCTTGTAACAATAAAGCCAGCTGAGCACTTTACCTCAGTCCTCAAAATAAACTTATGAGATACATTGTAATATTCTAATTGAGAAAACTGAGACTTATTGAATTAATTGAGGCCTAAATTAGTGATAGGAAGACAGATTGAGCCCATCCACTCTGATTTTGGAACCCATGCTCTTAAGCATTTTCATGCTGGCTCTGTGGAGGTAAGCCAGTATTTTAAGTGATTTTTTTTCTTTTGGTCTTTTTTAGGGCATTGAAAAACATATTATTGAGGATACTGAGGAAGCAAGGTTAAACCAAGAAAAATATCCCCGACCTCTCAATATAATTGAAGGACCCTTGATGAATGGAATGAAAATTGTTGGTGATCTTTTTGGAGCTGGAAAAATGTTTCTACCTCAGGTTGGCAAAAGATGGGGAGAAATTTTCGCAATTGACTCTTTCCTTTGCCATTTAATAAATAGTGATTTGGGGTATATTTCTCAGATTTAATTTGGACAAGAGTTCAATTGCATTGTCTAGTTATTCCTTCTTTAAATATATTTAGGAGTCATGTCTGGAAAAGTCCATTGTTAGAATGATGTGGATGTTACAAAATCATCTGAAAATTCATAGCAACGTAATCTATCATAATCTTTATCTTCTAATTTTTGTATCATCTCTTACCCCCAACGCCTATCTCTCCCACCCCGCAGAAGTAAAATAAAACCCAAGATAATGGTAGAGTTACTAACATTAAGACTTGATTTGAACAGGCACTGTTCATCTGTAAGGATGCAAACTGTTACTGTTTTAAATAATGGTACATTGAATGGTTTGTTTAAAGTCAAACCAGAACTCTTATTTTGATTTACAGCAGCTACTAACCACGTCAGTTAACACATACTTGTTGAGCATGTAGGTTAGTGGCTGTATGGCGTTTGAGAAACTAAACTGCCCTCACCTTGCCTAAATGTAAGGCTTAATTTTAAGTCAGTTGTAAAGGTGGGACTTGAGAAGAGAAGGCTTGGAATGAGCTCGTGGTGGGAAGCCTGGTCCTGAAGGATACATAGAACTCTTGGGTACGTGATAGAGTGCCTGCTAGATGGAGAAAAAAATAACAAGCAAAAGTTCAGAAGACAGAAATTGCAACATTTGATTTCTAGCCTTGTTTTCCTTCTGTCGTACCTTATTACTCACTGGCTTTTCCTCCGGGAAGCTTATCCTTTATTCTGCCTGCTGTCAAAAGACTCCAGTGTAGCTGGCCTGTTGTCAAAGCATGCATTCTTAATTTGTGCCAGAATCTCACAGGTGACTATCAGCAGTTGTTCCTGTGGTTTGCTAAAGATGCCTGATCCTATGCTTTTTTTCTCAGGTTATAAAGTCAGCCCGGGTTATGAAGAAGGCTGTTGGCCACCTTATCCCTTTTATGGAAAAAGAAAGAGAAGAAACCAGAGTGCTCAGCAGCACAGTAGAAGAAGAGGCAAGTCATTGTGTTCAGGCCTACGGCCCTTAAATGAGTTGCCCGGGAAGACTTGTTGAGGTGGTGGTAGGGGCCTAAGCAGTCGGGCTTGTCCGCATTTGTCATTGAGGATAAAACAGAGAAAGGATCCCACGTCTGTCCCTTTTTTAACCAAATATCAGAATACTCTGGGACTTTCTTTTGAATGTAGCTTTATAAAATTTTTTAATACAGATAAAATTTTTCAGTCAAATCCCATGTTTTCAAGGCAAAACGAGTTCATTCCTTTGTTTCTTCATTAACTGATCATTTACAGACTCCTGTGATGTGCCGAGTACCGTGCTAGGCACTACTCAGTACGACTGTCTGTGCCTGCCCTTGAGGTAATTGAGCCATGCTTGTTTTTAGAACACTCTTAACTGAATATTCTCTTTCTGCTGGTGAGGTCCTTGGCACCACTTCTGGATTCAATTTAATTCTTATTGGCTGCACCACCAGAGTAAATCATTAAGCTTTTTGACCTGGTTTAGCTCCCTCTGAAGCTCAGGCAGCTTTGGCCCTTAGGATTCCAAATTTTTAAACCGATCTGTGTTTGTGAATGGCTCAGACACAGTTTATAAAAATCCTGCTTGTTTTGTTTGCTGCTTTTCTCTGTGTGGGGAGTAGTGGGGATGCCGACTGTGCACAGGACAGCCGTGCTGAGGAAGGATGCTCACGTGCCCCCTGCCTGGGCTGTTGTGGAGGTTTTTCAGATTCCAGTGGAACATACACAGTTAACCTGTTCCTCTTCCTCTCCCTGACGTCTCCCTTAATTGCTAACAGTAAACATGTGTCAAATAGGTTTCCCCCAACCAAAGTTAAGGATGTGGTCTTCAGCTGTGGGGCTGTTTTGTGTGTGAATACCAACTGTTGTTCTTTGAAAGGATGGGACCCCCAATCTTGGTGGAAGCCCATTGGGCGGGCACATTAGGTGGGCCTCCTTTGGACTGCTTGGGCTTTGGTTTCCAGGTCTGTCTTTGAGGTGGTCTTGGTCATATTGACTTGCTTGCTGTGCTGGCCCGTGCCTGGCTCTGGAGAACTAGGGGATCGGTGCTGACCCACCCCACCTTGCTGAGCTGCTTGGCTTCTTTTCCAGGACCCTTATCAGGGCACCATCGTGCTGGCCACTGTTAAAGGCGACGTGCACGACATCGGCAAGAACATAGTTGGAGTGGTCCTTGGCTGCAATAATTTCCGGTAGGTTAGGACTTCACCTCTTTCAACTCCTTTTCCATTTAAAAACAAAAGCTTTTTAACAGTAAATCTTTAATGGGTGGGAAGAGTAGGGCATGGCAGTGGATGTTAGAGGTTATTTTTTGTTTCTTTTTGCTTACTGTTTGCTTACTTTTTGAATTTTCTACAGTGAACACAGCATTTCAGATGAAGTCAGTTAGTAATTATCTGTGCTCAATAAGGACATAAAGAATAGTAAAAGCTATTCCAGTGGGATCAGAACAGCCCAGAGGATTCCTGGGGTTGGATGTTGGGACAGAGGCGCTAATGGCTAGAATATCAGGTTCCTTCCCATGGCCAGTGGTGTTCATCATATCCTCTTTTTCCTTTCAATAAACTCAGATTTTAGAACTGAGATCTTATGAGAACTTGGCTAAATGGAGTTTTCCAGGAAGGCCTTATCTGTACAGGTCTCAATTGGCTTCACTTAGAACCAGGATCCTGTCTTCTTGGTGATGATTAAGTTAGATTTTGGGAAGTTTTATACAGATAAAGCCCCTTTCTGATATATCTCATTATAATTAGTAAATGCTCATAACCAAGTCATTTCCATGTGAAAGCTGATGACCTATACTAAGTATATGTTTAGCTTAGATTTGAACATATTCTTTGTAATGAAAAGCCCTAATAGAAATAATGCCTTCCCTATCCATGTCTGGCCAACAGCCCTTTCGAGTCTTGGACATCTTTCTAATGTGCTGTTTTCTCTAGACAGAGAAGAAAATTGACTGGCGCTATCCCTGTACCCCTCAGTTTTCTTCTTTGCTGTCAAGTAACAATTAACCCTCTCAGCTCTGTCCCTGCTGTCAACATTTGTATCCATCTCTGCCTTCTAGGCTAATTAAATGCAGCCTAAGAACCTTTCAGGAAGGCTGGAGACAGAGGAGCGGTGTCAGGAAGGCAATTTTTTCCCTCTGACTGTCTTCACAAGCACTTCCATTTACCTGTTCACTTGCTGTCTGAAGACTTAGCATTCTCTCCTAGTCCTAGAAACGAGGAATACTGTTTCTATCCATGTCTTTATTATTTTTTAAAAAGATAAATTTACTGGAGATAGGTAGTTGTGATAAAAATTTTACCTATATAATAAATATTTGGATAAGGTGTTGGCTTCCTGAAGTCTACAAAGCATTTCTGCTATTGGCTTAACCTTTGCAAACATGAGGTTGTTGGTTTCTGTTTGCTTTCATCACCATCAGTTAATAATTGTTTATCGCTCACCTAGTACATACCAGGCATTATACTAGAGACACTAAAATGATTTAGTTGACTTTTCTCCTTGAAAAAGTATACCATTTCTCAGGCTAAATAGCCAGGTACATGTTCAGCTTTAATAGTGGGACAAGAACCGTTGAAGAAGGTGACTTGTAGGTAAACTTCCTGAAAGTGATTCTTGAGATATCATTGTCATGTGTTTTATCATTAGTTATTTTGATCAGTGGATACTTAGCTAAGAGTATCATACAAGCAATGTTTATTTCTCCAGTAAAGACATTTTAAGAAGCTGGGGAACATTGTGGCATTTCTCCAGGTTGCTACTGGAATCAAATGTCAACAGTTGTGAAGACTGCTTACTAAGCCTGAGGCTTTCCTGCAACACATCCAGTTCCTATGTGTTGTGCATTGACAGTTTGCTTATCTTTGCTAATAAGTCTAACAGGAGAAACACCTTTTGATGAAACGTTGCTTTTATTTTACAAAAACAAGTGAACGTGCAGACTTAATGTCAAATACCCCTATGGTTTGTGTGTGATCACACATAGACTCTTCCATTGGTGAGTTTAATTTTACGGTGTCAGCTAGTAGACAGGTGTCCCCGAAGATTGCCTTATGAAGTAATGTGTACTTTTACTGTCAGTACCACGCTAGTATGCTTGAAGGAATTACCCAGTCTAGTGAGTGAGTCCAGCAAACTATTCTGTGTCTAATCCTTCTCTTTCATGGCTTTTTATCATTGTTGCAGTGAATCTCACAAAATGATAACAGTGTTCTTTTCTTTGTAGGGATAAAAGAAATAAAGAGGGCTAAAAGGGACAGTTCTGTTTAGAGACAAAATATATTTTTTAAATGGGGAAGATAGGATGCAATAGAATTGCAAATTTGAGGATTTGCATAGAACTAAATAGCACAGTTAATGCAAAAGAAAAGTTCTTAAAGTAAATGAAAAATGCTCCTCCAGTGAGAATACACAAATGACAGGAAAGCAAAACAGCCTTATTGCTGATTGGAGGAAAGTTTGAGTGGTCTGGATAGAAGATTAAACCAGTCACAATATTCCCTTAAGCCAGAGTCTCACCTAGAGCAGTTTGGTGTTGCCAGAGGGATACCAAATTGAAGAGTGCCCTGTCTTCAGTTCTGTGAAGGCCGAGAGAGGCGAAGAAGCTGCAGAAGGAAAGTTTGAAGCCAGTAGAGGTTGATTCCTGAGGTTCAAGGAAAGAGGCCGTCTCCTAACATAGCAGTACAAGATGAAGTTCCAGGGTTGGTGGAGAAGCCGCAGCAAGTTACCCAGATCTAGCTGCGATCACTGAGGAAGGCGGCTACACTCAACAGTAGGTGTGCAGTGTAGACGAAGTGGCCTTCTGTTGGATGTAGAAGCCATAAGGACTTTCATAGCTAGAGGGGAGAGGTGAAGGCCTGGCTTCAAAACTTCAAAGGACAGGCTGACTCGCTTGTGAGGAGCTAACACAGCTGGTGACTATCAGTTGAAGCCAGTGCTCATTTGCCATTCTGAAAATTCTAGGGCTTTAAGAATTATGTTAAATCTCCTCTGTCTGTGCTCTGTAGATGGAATAACAAAGCCTGGATGAGAGCACCTCTGTTTACAGCATGGTTTACTGAATATTTTAAGCCTACCGTTAAGACCTGCTGCTCAATAAAAAAGATTTCTTTCAAATATTACTCCTCATTGACAGGGCACCTGGTGACAAGAATTGATGGAGATGTACAAAGAGATGAATGTTGTTTTCTTGCCTTCTAATACAACATCCATTCTGCAGCCTGTGGATCAAGGAGGAATTTTGACTTTCAAGTCTTACTACATTTTGTAAGGCTGTAGCTGCCATAGATAGTGATGGATCTGGGCAAAATAAATAAAAAACCTTCTGTAAAGGATTCACCATTCTAGATGCCATTCAGACCATTTGTAATTCATGGGAGGAAGTCAAAATATCAACATTAACAGGAGCTTGGAAGAAGTTGATTCCAACCCTCACAGATGACGTTGAGGGATTCAAGACTTCAGTGGAGGAAGTAACTGCAGATGTGGTAAAAATAGCAAGAGTAAAGTCGAATGAAAAGTGGAACCTGAAGATGGGAATGAATTGCTACAGTCTCATAATACAACTTCAGCAGATGTATTATCCTTATGGCTCAGCAAGGCTGAGCAGAGAAAGTAGTTTCTTGAGATGGAATCTACTCTTGGTGAGGATGCTATGAACAGTGTTGAAATGACAGCAGAGGATTTAGAATAGTATGTAAACTTAGATGATAGAGCAGTGGTAAGGTTTGAGGTGATTGGCTGTAATTTTGAAAGAAGTTCTGTTAGTAAAATGCTGTCAAACAGCATCGCTGCTACGGAGAAATCTTTTGTGAAAGTCAGAGTCAATTGGTGTGGCAAAATTCACTCTTGTTGTATTTTCAGAAATTGCCACAGCCACCCCAGACTTCTGCAACCACCACTCTAATCAGTCAGTGGCCATGAGCATCAAGTCAAGACCCTCTACCAGCAAAAAGATTACAACTCACTGAAGACCTAAATGATAGTTAGCATCTTTTTTAGCAATAAATATTTTAAATTAAGGTATATATACATTGTTATTTTAGACATACTACTACTGCACATGTAATGTTAAGCATGTTCTGAATAAAGAGACCACCTAAACAGGCTTTGTGTGAGCAACAAGGCGATTTATTCACCTTGGTGCGAGTGGACTGAATCTGAAAAGAGAGTCAGTGGAGGGCGGTGAGATAGTTGTTTTTATTGGTTTGGGGTAGGCAGTGGAAAGTTGCAGAAGTTATAGTTCAGGGTGGTTTTGCAAACCAGGTAGGGGGGTGTCGCTGGGAGGGTGTCACGAGGTCCAGTGTCACAAGGTTGGCTTATCAGTTAAGCTGGAACAATGGTGGAATATCACAAGATTGGTTAATTGGGCTTTGTAGGAGCTAGCTATTCTTACTTCAGACTTTCTGGCTCTGGGAGACCATCCAGGGGTGTACATGCGGGTCACAGGGGTTGCCAGGGCTTGACTTAGGGTATGGCCTATGGTGCAGCCAGTTCAAAGAACCTTGCACATAATAGAGTACGATATAGTGTGAACAACTTTTATATGCATTGAGAAACCAAAAAATTCATGTGACCCCCTTAATTGCGATACTTGCTTTATTGTAATGGTCTAGAGTTGAACCTATTTAGCATTAGTCTGAGTTATGTCTGTCATCTGAATTCCCCCCAAGAAATAATGTAGAATATTTGGAAATATTTTTGATTTATTCCATTGAGGTTAATTTTAGATATACTCTAAATAATAACTAGGAAAAGACAAAAGAGGACATTTTCCATTTAACAGATAATCTACAGTTTAATTATGTAAGAAAAACTTGCTATTTCAAGACAAATTTTAAAGTTGTACATCATATGTCTAATATTTTTGAACATGGGTCTGATAACCAGTGGTTCTTAATACAACTATATAGTATGAGTAAAACAGCAGTATGTGGCTCAGCATGGAAATAACTCAGAACTGTCTAACGCTGGAACGTTCAGCTGAGTGGGGAACATGACTGTGTCTCTGTCAAGGATGTAGTAATCCAGTCTCTCCTGAGCACTTTACATGCTCACTGATAATTAGTTAGAGGCTTTTGATACATTTTTTGAAGGGGAGACCAAGAGTTTGTTTTGTTTATTTTTTTAAAAAAGTGTTAAAAATGGCAACAGACCCTATTGGCACTGCTTAGGTACAGGTTGGAAA